ATAGAACTATTCCAAAGGATAAAAGACAGAGGGGCGCTTGTTAACAAAGATGGTGCGAGAATTTGAAGTTTATTGTGATGACCCAAGAGGTCATCACTTGTTTTAAAATGAAATTATACGTTCCGAGGTCTTAAAAAACTTTTCTAGCATCACCTCGATTTGCGTGCGCAGTCCGGGCGCGTAGCCGGAAAGCCTATATGCAAAAATCTGTGAAAAATGATAACTTTTGACTATAAAATGAATTAAGTTGACTTCGGTCAACGCTTTGGGTAAACGGACCCGGACCTGTGATTTGACGGTCTCAGAGGGTCCGCAGGAAAATATGGGACTTGGGCGTATGCCCGGAATCGAATTCCGAGGTCCCAAGCCCGAGAAATGAATTTTTAAAAAAAATTATTTTCTGAAATGGTTTAAAGGTTTTGGAAATGAATTTTGATTATAACATGTTGGTATCGGACCCGTATTTTAGTTCTGGCGCCCGGTACAGGTCTTATATATGATTTAAGATAATTCTGTGAAATTTGGTAAGAAACGGAATCTGTTTGACGTGATTCAGACCTTAAATGCAAAATTTGATATTTAAGAAGTTTTGAGAAATTACATTGATCTTGAGGTTTAATTCGACGTTCATGATGTTATTTTGGTGATTTTATTACGCGAATAAGTCCGTATGATATTTTTGAGGTTGTGTGTATATTTGGTTTGTAGCCCGGAGGGCTCGGGTGAGTTTTGGATAGGCTAGGAGGTGGATTTTTAGACTTAGAAAGTTGCAGATTTTAGCTGGTGTGCCCAGATGCGAAGACTGGCTCGCAAATGCGAAGGCTGGATCGCAAATGCGAAACCAGCCCAGGCATGTCTTGCTCGCAAATGCGAGGCTTCGATCGCAAATGCGAAATTCCCCTGCTCAGCCTTGGATCGCAAATGCGACTCTTTCTTCGCAATTCCCAAGTCGCAAATGCTAAAGTCCAGTTTTCCCGGAAGGGTTCGCAAATGCGAGCCCTATTTCGCAATTCCCAAGTTAGCAGAGGTCGGGGTTTGCAATTGCGAACCCCTGTTCGCATTTCCCATAACTGCGACATGCAACTTTTTACTTAGACGATTTTAAACTCATTTTTCACATCTTGTCAAAACACAAACTCCCTAGGGCGATTTTTCAAGAACAACTCTTCTTCTAAATCGATTGTAAGTTAATTTTAACTCATTTCCTTCAATCAATAACATCTTTTAACATGATTTCAACTTAAAATCAATGATTTTCATGGGGGAAATTGGGTGTTTTAGGTAGAACCTAGGTTTTTCAAAAATTGGGGATTTGGACTTCGATTTGAGGTCCAATTTCAAAACAAATTATATATTTGGGTTCGTGGGGGAATGGGTAATCGGGTTTTGGTTCGAACCTCGGGTTTTGACCATGTGGGCTCGGGGGTGATTTTTAACTTTTTGGGTAAAACTTTGGGAAATTCATTTTCATGCATTCGAATTGATTCTCTTAGCATTTATTGATGTAATTAAGTAACTTGTGACTAGATACGAGCGAATTGGCGGTGGAATCGAGGGGTAAAGCTATAATTGAAACTTGAGTTGTGTTCGTGGTATCGAGGTAAGTGTTTGGTCTAACCTTAGCTTGAGGGATTAGGAGTTGTGCCCTATTTTCTATTTGCTTCTGGTTGAGTACGATGTATAGACATGGTGACGAGTATCTATACGTTGCTGTCGAGCATGACCGTGAGTCTTAAATTGCAACTTGTTGTGTTCTTAAATGATATTACGGACGCTTTAATTGATGACTCTCGATAGTGAGCAAGGAATAAGTTTGTTTTTGTGGGAATTACGAAGTTTGAGTATTGGTGATAGCTGAAATGGTTAGATGTTGGATTAAGATTGGTTATAGTTATTTCTCTCTGGCCGAGACATATTTATTTATGTTGTCGATTCCCTTGCCGGGATAGTGTAGCTCGTTATTGATCCCTTGCCGGGACTATGGTTATGATTATTGTTGACTATATATTTGGAACGGGTTGTGCACCGCAATATTATTATATATGGATCGGGTTGCACGCCGCAACAAATATTATATTGGATCGGGTTGCACGCCACGACATTATTATATATGGATCGGGTTGCACGCCGCAACAAATATTATATTGGATCGGGTTGCACGCCACGACATTATTATATATGGATCGGGTTGCACGCCGCAACAAATATTATATTGGATCAGGTTTCACGCCGCAACAGTGATATAAATGGATCGGGTTGCACGCCGCAACAGTGTTAAATGATAAGGGATCGGGTTGCGCGCCGCAACAGTATTATTAATGTCTTGTTGTAGATCTTGAATTGTTTTCTCATATTTCTCTTAAGTTTCTCCTGGATTTGATATTTTCCCCATAGCATGTACCCCCTCCCATTCAAATTGTTTATTCCTGTTTATTTCCCGCTGTATATTATATAACTGCACAAGTTTATCTAGAGTCTGGTCGTAGCCTCGTCACTACCTCACCGGGATTAGGCCAGACACTTACCAGCACATGAGGTCGGTTGTGCTGATGCTATACTCTGCACTATGTGCAGATACCAGAGCAGTATTTGGGCAGTAGCACTTGGGGAGCCAGCCTTCAGTCCACTTAGAGATCCCGAGATAGTCCTGCAGGCGTCCGCAGGCCCGGCGTTCTCTTCTATCTATTTATATGTTCTGTTTTCACTTGTTTCCGAGACAGACGGTATTTCCTTGTTCAGACGTTTGTATGTAGTATTCATAGACAGCCCGTGGATATTGTGACACCGACTTTTGGGTAGAGACGCATGTTGGCATTTTCGTACTGATTTTGGTATTATATTAGTCTAAGTCTTCCGCTTAATTTCATCGTTCCATATTATTTAAATGTTGATCACCTATTAATTCAACTCGTTAAAAGGATGGGGAAAAAATGAAAGAGTTAGAATTTCTATATTTCGTGGCTAGCCTAGCTTCTACGAGTAGGCGCCATCACGACCCCCGAGGGTGGAAAATCCGGGTCGTGACATTTATAGTTTCAAACTTATTAATTTTTTTCTAGGAAAACTCGCAACCGCTACTCTTCGGGTCCGCACTGGGTAACCTGCTCATTATGCAATAGCTCGCAAACCACACAGGAAATATAAACCGCATTAGGCAAGCCCGGTGCGACGGGCTCTGACTGAGGAGGCTGCTGGAGAAGGGAATCGATCTCAGGTTTTTCATGTGGGAAACCACTCACCCAACTAACTCAATCAACTCTTGTGGGCAATTTGAACTTCTATTAAACTCGTAGTTCGTCAGTAAAAGCTATACCAGTACCTAACACTCTAGCTCTGCCCTGCTTGTTAATTATAATTATAATTTTTGATGTACACCACCTCACCAATAAAACTATTGTCCTACAATATTACTTTAAAGACTCGTCAATGCTTACTCATTCATGTGATGTTTGACATAGGGCTTTTCTTTTTTCTTTTTTTGGTTCAATAGGGCTTTTCTTTTAATTTCTATAGTTTTCACATATAGTGCCGTAGAATAGAACTAATGAATTTGCATCCATGTGGGAAGTAGCTGGACTTTCTTAATTTCTCTATTTCTATCTTATTTATATTTCTGTCAGAAGAATAGATACTTAATCATTCGATGTATAATCCTTGAGAAGGAAACAGAGAATCTTTAACTTATAATTAAATAATGTACATTATTTAAACAAAAATGATAAAAAATATCTAAAATATTTACAGAAATAGAATGAAGGCATGTAACAGTAAAGTTTTAAGAAATATTTTGAAGACGCATGTTGTGCCTCGCATGAACGACAAACTATTTTATGAATTTTCTTCTTACAAAGCTGACTAATTCGATAAAATGTATATCAGTAAAACTATTAGAAGTACGGGTGTATTTGGTACGAAGAAAAATATTTTTCTTGGAAAATGTTTTTCTAGAAAATATTTTTCTGAAAAATGAATAGTGTTATCACTTATTTTCCTATGTTTGGTTAGTGAATGGAAAACTTTTTTCGGAAAACATATTTTAGTATTTGGTTAAAGAGAAGAAAATCTTTTTTAGCAAAATAATGTTCTATGCTACTCTCCCCACCCCCACCTCCCCCCAATTCCCATGTTTCATGTGTTCCCCCCACTCCAAACAAACAAACAATTACTCAACGTTGCTACAACTCTATTTTCCTTCAAGAATTTAATTATTCTTCTAAAAAATTCACATAAACCTAAAGGAATTAACCACCACCAGAAAACTGCCAAAAATCGTCCAAGAAAACCGACCGAGATCGGTCAAAAATATAGGACAACGACCGATTTTAATTCGTCGAAAAAATAGTGGTCGCTAAGGTGTGGCAACCGAAGAAGGTCGCAATTTTCGACCGAAGTCGGTCGGTTAATTCAACCAAAATTTGACCACTTTATCTGATAATTTTTGTTGAACAAATAAGTATACCGACCAAAATTGGTCGGTAATATGTAAATTATTTTTTATTTATTTTTCAAAAGAGTGATCGATTTCGGACAGAAATATAATTATTTGATAATTTTGCTTTTCTTTTTAAATTTTAATAGACCGACCGAAATCGGTCGGAATCATTAAAAATAAATTAATAAATAAATAAGGTTATTTTCGACCGAATTCGGTCGGTAATTTTAAATTTCTGCAGATTGCACGTTGAAATTACCGACCGATGTCGGTTGGAAATTATGAATTTGTGGGTTTTAATATGAGAATTCCGACCGAAATCAGTCAGAAGTCGGTTAGTTTTCAGGGTAAAAACCTGACAGAATATGACTGTTTTTAAGCTACACCACCTGCCAATTACAACCAATAACCATCATATAATGGCAGCATTACATTGCTGCCATTGAACCATAATTAACCAACAACAACAACAATTAACCAACGTCTACCACAACAACAACACTAATAACAACCACAACAACAACGCAACCCACAATTACAACAATAAAAGTGTTCAATAACAAAATAATATCAACAATACAATCATCATTCAAAATTATCCCAACAAAATATTCACAAGTTCAGGACTTTGTTTAGCAATACACATCATTCAGGGAGTGTTTTGTATTACATCATCTTCATCTTCACTACTAGAAGTTTCATCGTCGGCATGGTTCGGAGGATCACGACAAGAAAGATTAGATTTGGGGAAGGCTCACGAGACCGAGGAATCGGGAAAGCACCACTAGCAAGAAGATTGGCCAGCTGACCTTGAAGGACATTAAATTGTTGGTCCCTCTTTTCTAGCTGAACTTGAATGGTATCAAATTGTTTATCTCTCTTTTGTTTTCTAGCCTTTGTCTCTTCAAGTTCTGCTGTCAACTTTGCGATCTTCTTCTTCATAGATGAGAGAGTCGACCTATCAATTGTCTCGCTCTATATGAAAGTCCCTATACCTTGCAATCCATCCCTGTAGCGCCGAAATGATCTCTCTAATAGGCCGTATGCTATCCCTTTTTTAGGACCACTGATAACATCCAACCATATCTTCTGCGCTTCTTCGTCTGAAATGGGTGGTCGCTCACCTTGCCCATTCGGTGGCAAGCTTGGAGTGTACTCCTTCACATTAGTCTTGTAGAGATCCTTTATTTAGAAGATAAAAAATTATTAACTATATAATATTATAAACATTAATTTCAAGTTATAGTAGTTATGAAACTTACATACATAGTCTCTGCCCGATCCTCGACCCATCTACTTGGATATGTCGGTGCCTTCTTCTTCCAGATGTGAGTCTCCGTGAAGAACTCATCATGAGTCATCTTTCTTACATATTTTTTTTCCTACAAATATAATAAAACATGTTAACTAAATTAAAATATATATAAATATAGTTCAATAAAAATAGATTTAAATATTTTAAGGAATTACCAGTAGTCTCCTCGCAGTCCCCATGCTCCTTGAACCCACACAGTGCAAGGAGCCACTATTCTCAGATGCTCGGACCTTCTTTCCATGTTCACTCATCTTCTCAAATTTTCAATGGTCCACTGCCTCAATAGATCCTCCCATAAATGTGGTAAAACCCATGAAGGCTTCTTGCTCTTCTTCCGAGCAGAATAGAAGGAATCAGATAGTCTCTTACGGCATTTAAACACAAAATTTGTAAGAATGACACTGTTATGCCGGTCCTCCCAGGACCACTTAATCTGCAAATGAAGTGTGTAACATTAGATAAAAATATTGTTAATATAATACCTAAATAGATAAGAATTGTATTAAAACCTTAAATTGGTTGAAAATTTGCTCCACGAGCTCCGGTGGAAATTTACTCCAAGTCGCATAGGTTGCATCATACAACTAATTGCAGATTAAGTGATTATCTTTGTAGTTTGATGATTAGGTATGAACCTGCAACATAGAAATTACATTAAATAAACAAGTCTAGCTATTATATTCAGCAAAAATAAAGAAGTAATAAATAAATCTTACCCATTACCTTCAGGCCTGATGATCATCCTAGATAACGATCATATTGCACTTCCTCTGGATCATCATCATCCGATGAATCTAAAGCGTGCGTAGAAGGGGAGGCATTTGGCTCACCGCTACTATCCCGAAGATGAAGTCTAGAAATGCTAGGAGACAAACTCTGTGGAGAGGGAGATGGGGTCGCTGATGAAGATGGATGCAATCTAGACCCTTGCTACGATCCGGGTGGTTGAATCTAGATGTATGCTATCCAGCTGGTGCTGAAGCAAATGGAGCAGATGACGAGCACATCACCACATGGCCCTATGACTGCTAACTCGATGGACCCATGTAACTACTTGCAGGATCATGTGGAGGAAGCGGGGTATAGCCCTATAGTGGATAATGACAAGAATACAGTTGGGAGGGCGAATGGTAGGTAGTTTGATGAGTAAATGGATGTGGTAGAAAAGATGTGTGCCTAGAAGATCGTTGCCGGCCATCAGAAATGGAGGGATGCAAGTGTGGAGCGGAAGGAAGCGAGGGTGTAGCATTATCCTCATGATCAATAGGACTTTTATCCTTCCTAGACCTACCTCGACCCTTATCTGTCATCTGCATAAATTAAATAAAATGTTAGAATTGAGAATATAAATCTATATTAGTTGAGAGCGCTTGAAAAAAACATACTAGTCGTCTTCGAAGTATCCTTTCTCGTCCGAAAATTCTTCCTCTTCACTTACTTCATTTTCATCAGGTGATTCTTCGTCCTTATTTTTTATGATTGTTATTTCCTCCATATCAACTTCTTCTAATATGCGTTGAGGATGCTCCAAGTCATTTTCTAACTGGTCATCCACCATTTGGTTAACACTTGAGGTGTTGTTTTGGTAAGCAACATCTAGAGCATTCTCAATTTCCACCCTACCAACAGACTTAGTTTTGATTACAACCAACCAATCAGCCTTATCTCTCCGCAATAGATATGGACCATAATATACTTGCCTGACTTTTTTTGCAATTATAAAAGGATCATAGCGATCATACCCCCTCTTTTTATTAACCTCAATTATGTTGTACTGTGAATGTACATTTGTACTTCTTCTAGGTGTTGGGTAAAACCGCTTGCATCGGAAAAGTATGATCTTTCTTATTTGGCCAACCTGAATATGATAATTCTAGAATCTCTTTGATCACACCATAATAATCATTTTCCTCATCCTGGTTGCCTTCACCACCTTTGACACACATCCAATTGTTATTGCTTTTTTTTTTTTAATACTTGGAGTATTCCTCGGTGTGAAATTTGTAATCGTTCACAAACTACTTAGACATAGTAGTAACCGTAGGTGCAGGTCCCCAAGATATATCTTTCAAAATTTGATTAACACCGTTGTTTGGATTATTGACCTACATGTAGTGTTAAATAAATCACAAACGAACAAGTATATTCACAAATGACCAAGTGTCACACCTCCTTTTTCTACCCCGGAAGGGTATAAAGGAGTTTTTCCAATTAAAGTAATAATAATTGAAACGAGATTATTTACATTTATTTAGAGTCGCCACTTGGAAAAAATTATGGTGTCCCAAGTCACCAATTTAAAATCCCAAATAGAGGAAGTTTGACTCTGTTTTACAGTCCGCAAAACACAGAAATCCGGGTAAAGAATTCTGTTAACTCGAGAGGAGGTGTTAGGCATTCCCGGGTTCCGTGATTTTAGCACGATCGTTCAACTATTACTATTGGCCTAATTATCTGATTAATTACACATTTTAAACCTACGCGCATTTTTAACTTTCATATTGCTTTTAATAATTTTTTAGGAAAATTCATGTAAACCACGCTACATGAAATGCACCCGCGGTTCATGACATATTTATTTATTAAACATTATTGGAAATTACAGTCGGGTCATATGAAATGTACACCCGGATTTGGAAATTAAGCATCACAATCACATCACAGAAACCATACCCATAGCTATAATGATTTATTATAGCGCCTAAAAGTTTGCCTAACCACGTGTGATCGACCTAAAACATGCTACTAGCGATCAAAGTAAAATAGAATAGTGAACATGTAATACTCAAATTTCAGTTATGTTTCCTTCAAATTCCCCAACCCTATGGCCAAACCACTACATCAGACAAAATCTAAATATTAAAAATAAGGGCTAATGAAACCAAAACAATAACTATAATAAAGTGAATAAAAGTGTATAACACACCCAACACAAAAGGCATCCGAACATTTAGGAAAGATACGAACCAAGAAAATCCAATGATGACACTACTAAAGTAAGAAAGGAATTAAAGCTACCAGGAATTACCATTTGAAGATCCAGTTATTACCCCAATTGTCCTAGAAAGTTCATCAATTAATTATGTGAGCTAATTGTTTTACTATTTTTACTTCAGTATTTATCAAATTATCTAGAGGATTACTAAGGCGATATACTCACTCGACATCACGTCACAACAACTAAGCGAGGCTTAAGTCCTTAGGAGCATTAGGCGAAACGATTTGGTGCAGAATGATGTTACAAAAAAACTTTAACGCAATTTTCCTTTTAATCTGAAACCCACGAAACATGCCTGCTCATGAACTCCAATACTCCAATCCTCTAACTCTGAATAACTGAAAAGCTAACCAAACCTTTTTATCTTACTTTAATAAAGCATAATGTCTTATAGACTGAAGAATCCCTTTAGCTATGACTTGAATCAAAGAAATATCTTCAACATCTAGGCACAACGTCAAAGAAACTAAGATATAAAGAATCATCCTGTGGAGTCTAAATTTTAAAAAAATAAACAATTTGCCCTTTTTCATGAAGGAAAATACCATTTTTAGATTTAAGGAGAAACAGAAGGGCTCAAAAGAATTAAAAACACTCTTCACAGCATTTATTAATTAATCACGGATCCAATTAATCTCAAATAAAAATTTCTGTTCACTTTTCTTTTGTAATCTCATAGAAATCAAACTTCTTCATACATATTCTATATTCAAAGTGAGAGGATTAAGACAAGTACGAACATTTAATCTACAACAAAAAGAGAAACAGGGATCCAAGCAAGTTGAATACTAATTCGTTCTTTAGAGGAACTATTGCAAGAAACTAAGAAAATAAAATCAGAAGAAGTATAAATATAACCACAGTCAATACTATCAAGCCTCAATTATGATTAAAGAAAATTACAGAGTAAAGAAGAAAACCTGTAAAAACTAGAATCTCTTGAATAATGAAATAAGAAATCAGCGAGTACACACTTTTTGCGCCAAAATCCCAAGCGAGGAAGTAGGGGTATAACCAAACTGGGACCTCGAAACCAAACTCGGCTCAATCAAACGAGATCCATTTCAAACACAAATCCAGAAGAAGAAACGAGACCTTTTTTTTCTATTCTTGAAATCAAACAAAGAAGAAAACAAAACTGAATATATATATTTTTTATATATTTCTGCAAGACCTCAAACGAAAAGGAAAATGAAGAAAAGCCAAAATCAAAAAAAAAAATACAAAACCAAATCCTTTTCTTCTATTTTTCTTTTCAATTTTTTCTCCCAAGGACCTCTGAAATTTTGTTTTAAGATTTCTTACCCGAAAAAAAAATCTCCAAAATAGAACCCCTTTCAAACAGAAATCCAAAACCAGAAATGGAGTTCCATATTTTTTAAGTTTTCTGATTTTTTGGAAGTAAAATCTCGAACTAAACAAAAAAAAACTCAGACTTTCAATATCTTTCTCTGGAATCAACAAGACAACAGAAAAAAAAAAACTCAAAAAGCAAACCCGAAATAAAACCCTAATTTTCTATTGAAATATCTCCCCCCTACCTCTGAAGAATAATCCCAATATATAGGGAGGCTCGAACCTTCTATGCTTCCTTTCAAAGAAATCTCCCAAATTTTTCAAAATCCGAATCCGATTTTTTACCCCTTTTTTTATGGAAAAAACGGATAAATGGAGGGAGTGGATCAATTTCACTCAATCCTACGCCCCCATTTTTCCTAATTTCGATCTAAAGGAGTAAAAATCCGAAAGAAACCAAAGAAAAGGCATGTGAGAAAGAGGAAATCTGTCAGAAACGGTTAAGCCACGTTGGAGAGAGACGAAAGGAGGGGATGAGCAGACTCAGCTAGTCGATTCGCCCGATTTTGGGTGTGATTCAGCGAGTTTGGGCGATGGTGTGCAGCGTCCGTGACTTTGGAGAGGGTGGGCGCCGTTTGGGGTTCTCTAGGTTTAGGGTTTTATTTCTGATATATTAGGCTTATATTTGGGGGGAAGTGGGGCGGGTCAAACCGACTGGATGGGCGGGTTGGGGCGTGGGCTAGGGGTGAAGGGCTGGGCGGAATTGAGGATTAAATTAGGCTAAAAAATTTGGTCTTGGACCAATTTCAGGATTTAACAAAGCTACCCTCTTATTTTATTCTTTTCTTGATTTTTAACCTACTAAATTTAAT